TTGGTTTGAATGATTTGTTAACCACGGTGCCAGACTTCTCTGGTAATTTTTCAAATCTGGCAAGATTGGGCCTTCGTTCTTGTAGGTTGAGTGGAAGATTTCCACTAAATGTCTTCTTGGTAAAAACATTGACCTTTATTGATATATCTTATAATATTGGTCTTAATGGTTCTCTCCCAAACTTCCCATTGAATGGATCTCTCCAAACCTTAGTAGTAGAAGAGAAAGTAGGGTATCTGTTTGTAATAGTGTCTTGCAGCCTTCTAAATAGTTTATTACTATTTATAGTGTATGTACAAAACCCTAGATTTACTATTCCTGCCACATGGCAGATAAGGAATATACAGAGTATGTACAAAGAGGTTAAAATCATAGACAACTAGGTAAAATTGTTCTGGACCATTTTAAATGTAAAGCCTACTATTGGGCCTTTATGAGGCAACTAAGCCCAATATGTATTAGGTCTAAAACACTGAACCAGTTTTGTTTCTACATGCCCTCGCAATTGAAGGATTGGTGGCTTCTGAAGACTAAGTTTGACCAGAAATGCCCAATGCTTCGAGTGAGATAAGGCCTTTGTAAAAAGGTCTGTGATTTGCTTAGTGGAAGGTACATAACGTACAGAGAGTTGTCTTCCAAGCACTCTATCTCGAACAAAGTAGACATCTAACTCGATGTGCTTCGATCTGGCTTGGTAGACTAGATTCAATGCAAGAGCAGTAGCATTGAGATTATCGTACCATGCTATCGGAGGTTCACGAAGATACAGTCTGAGTTCTTTGGTAAAGGATTGAATCAACGAAAGTTTTGAAGCTAGATCTGCTAGGGCTCTGTACTTTAATTCAGTACTTGATCGGGCTACCACATAGTGTTTCTTGCCTGACGAAGAAATTAAAGAGCTACCAAAGAAAACACAGTATCCCCCCACCGATTGGCAATCATCTAGACAAACAGCCCAATCGGCATCCAAAAACCCCTGTAAGGTGAGATGATTGCTTGGTTTAATGTACAACCTCAGATCTTTAGTTCCCTTGAGATATCTTAATACTCATTTCAGTCCTTTCCAGTGAGTGTCTCGTGGTGCACTTAACTATTGACTCAACTTGTTTATAGAGAACATTATATCCGGTCGAGTATGAACTAAGTATTATAGTAAACCTCTGATTTATCTGTAAAGAGTTGGATCTTTAAGAAGAGTACCTTCATCTCTAGAAAAATGATGATTTACAACCATAGGAGTTGGAACTGAGGACACATTTGACATGCCACACTTCTTTAGAATATTTAAGATATATCATTCTTGTTTTAGATATAGTCCTGATTCATCTCTGTAAGCCTCAATACCTAGAAAATGGTGAAGTTGACCTAGATCCTTTAAGGAAAAATAGCCATTGAGCTCCTTTATGAACAGATTTAAGACTATAGGTAAATTACCAGTGATAATGATGTCATTCACATAAATCAGAACAAACATAATCACTTTATCATGCTTTAGAAAGAACTTTGATGAGTTATACTTTGAGTAAAGAAAGCCCCAGTCAATTAGAGTCTTTTTAAGCTTATCAAAAACCAAGCTCTTGGTGCTTATTTTAAACCATAAATTGCCTTTTTAAGTAGAGACACATGATGTGAAAATTTAAAATTAACAAACCCTTCAGGTTATCACATTAAGACTTGCTCTAGCAAATCTCCATTGAGAAATACATTATTGATGTCCAGTTATCGAATTTGCCACCTGAAAGTTACTGCAATAGTAAGAATAAATCTGAGTGTAGATACTTTAAGAACAGGACTAAATGTCTCATCAAAATCAACACTAGGACTTTGCTAAAATCCTTTGGCCATCGGTCTAGCCTTGTGTTTTTGAAGTGAATCGTCTGCATTAAGTTTTATCTTAAAGACCCATCTACAGCCTATAAGATTCCTTTAACCAGAATAGGGTACCAATTCCCATGTCTTGTTTAGAAGAAAAGCATCATATTCACTTTACATTGCCTTTTTCTAGCTTTCTGACCAAAAGACCTCTGCAACTAATCTAGGTTCACATAGTTCAAAGGGAGTGTCAGTAGTGATAGCACCAACATAGGGTGCTTTAGGTTTGGAAATGCTTGTTTTACTTTAAGTTATCATAGAGTGCTTGTTTGTAGAAACAAGCTGCATATCTTTGGAATCTGCTGAATCATTAGCTTGAATATTCTGTGACTGTGGTGAAGTAATTGAGTATTCTGAATCTTGTTCAAGACTAACATTACTATCATCTTTACTTGTCTCAGATGCAATAGGTGTAAGAACACCTTGTGATGAGCTTGAGGGAGATGTTGTTGATACACGAAAAGTAGGAGGTGTTATTGTGACAGATTCTGAATTCATATCACCAAAAGAAATAGAACGAGCAATGTCATTTGCACATTTTCTTTAGACAGTAGCTAGACTCTGTTTAAAGAATGCTCCTGGATGAATAACTTAATTTTTATGTATGTTTCACTTGTTAATAAACCCTATTTCAAAAGGAAATTCAGCCTCATTAAACATAACATGTCTAGATATATATATTCTGCCCATAGGTTTAAGACACTTATATTCTTTATGAGCACTGCTATATCCAATGAAAACATACTTGGTTGATCGAAATTGTAATTTATGCTGATTATAAGGTCTAAGATAGGGATAATAAGCTGAACCAAAAACCTTCAATCTGTGATAGTCAGGGTGTGTACCAAATAGATAGTAATAAGGAGATATACCACCTAGAACAGTAGAAGGCAAGACATTAATAAGCTCTTTAGTAGTACTGAAAGCTTCCCACCAATAGAATAAAGGCATTTTAGCTTGAGCAAGTAGAGATAGACCCATTTCAACAACATGTCTATGTTTTCTTTTAGCTCTTTCATTTTGAGTAGATGTATGTAAACATGAATGTCTGAACCGAATACTAGAGTCTTTGTAGTTCCTTAGTGAAGCTTCTGTATTCTCCTCCCTAATTACTCTGAATCATTTTGATTTTGGTGTCAAACTAATTTTCTACTAATTTTTTAAACTGAATGAATGTATTTAAAGCTTCATCCTTGGATTTTAAAGGAAAGATCCAAGAATAGCGACTATAATCATCAACAAACAATATGTAATACTGAAAACCATTTATAGAAACAAGAGGTGATGGACCCCATAAATCTGTGTGAACCAACTCTAGTGATTTGGTGGCACATGAGATAGAGATTTTAAAGGGCAAAGTATGAAACTTTTTGTATTTGCATAATTCACAAAACAGATCCTCATTACTTGAAACTTTGAGATTACAAACACTAATAATTCTATTTAACACCCTAGGATTAGGATGTCCAGGTCTACAATGCCATAAAACTTTACTAGAAAGTAAATGATTAAGTGCTAAAAAAATCAACTTTTTCTACCGCAGTAAACATAAGTTTGACATCTGTACCACCATTCTTTTTGCCTTTTTCACAGATTTGAAACATGCCACCATCGCTAGGCTTCCCTTGAAGCATTATCACACCTGCTTCTTGATCCTTCAAAGAAACACCATGTTTATTAAATATGATATCAGCATCATTGGCAGTAGCAATTTTATAAACACTCAACAGATTCTTTTTGATATAAGGAGAATAGAGAACATTGGTCAGTTTGATAGGTGTCTGAATATTAGATTGAAGATTGGTTGAATCAATCTTTTCAACACCTATTCTGTCACCATTACCCACAATAATATTCATTTTATCATTAGGATCTATAGGGTTGTTAAGATGATTTATGTCATTGGTAACATGACTGGTTTCCCTACTATCTAAGTACCAAGCATTATCATTAACCATTTTAGGTGAAGCCTAAAAGGGAGAACTAAAACTATTAGTTGTCCCAGAATTAGATCCTGAGTTAGAGCATTGATGCTTCTTTTGATTTGGCTTTGTGAAGGTCCTGTCATAGCGATGAAACAAGTATCAACTTGATGCCCACATTTTTCACACAGTTGACATTGTGGGTGATTACTATACTTTAAATTCTTGCTATTAAAACCCCTTTTAGATCTGCCACGACCTCTAAAACCATGAAAGCCACATCTTCCTCACTAGGTGTACTGAGGAACAAACTCAGAACTAGCATAATTAACCATATTAGTCAAAATAGAGAGCTGAAAAATTTGCTATAACTGTTCCTGTCTACTTTCATAAGTAAGTAGTTCAACCTAAAATTCTATCTAGGTAATTTCTTTAGCTTCACGACTTAATTGAACCACTATAGGATTATAATCAGCATTAAGTCCAACTAAAATTTGAATAATCAGATCTGGAAGTGAAACAGGGTTACCAGCTATAGAAAGTTGCTCAGATAATTTTTTCATTTTAGCCAAATATTCAGCCATTTTCATTGTGCCTTTTCTTGTGCGTTGCAGTTCAGCCTTTAGCATGAGAACTCTTGCCTTAGTCTGAGCTCCAGCTTGCTTTCGTGCAGCTTTCTATAGTCCAGCAAATGTTGAGACACTATTCATCTGTGAAGAAATCTTCAAGCTCATGGTATTTAATAACTATCCAAACCAAAGCTGATCTGCAGTTACCCAGTCTTCAAAATCTAGGTTAATTGTTACAGTATCTTTATCCACAACAAATTGAGGGGGACACTTGGCTGTTCTATTTAGGAACCCTTCAAGCTTATGCCCTTTGATAATAGGTAAGACATGCATCTGCCATGTGAGAAAATTTGTGCCATCCAGCTTGATAGCATATGGTTGATTCATCCCATTTGAACCCCTTACGTTCTTGGGTAAGTTGTTTGCAGAGACCAAGGATTGAGACCCAGCTCCAGTAAAAGTAGAAGAGCCATCTGCAAACTTGCATGGTGATTCAACCATTGTAGTGATACTATTTACTCTGATACCAAGAAGAGAAAGTAGGGTATCTGTTTGTAATAATGGCTTGTAGCCTCTTGAATAGTTTATTGCTATTTATAGTGTATGTACAACACCTTAGGTTTACTATTCCTACCACATGGCAGACAAGGAATATACAGAGTATGTACAAAAAGGTTAAAATTGGTAGACATAGTAGGTAAAACTATTCTGGACCATTTTAAATGTAAAGTCCACTATTGGGCCTTTATGAGGCAACTAAGCCCAATATGTATTGGTTCTAAAACGCTAAACCAGTTTTGTTTCTATAGTAGTGAGTCATACAAATTTTACAGGAGATTTACCAGATTCTATCGGTAACCTGACCAACTTGTCCGAATTAGATCTTTCATATTCTCAATTTTCTGGACAACTTCTATGCTCAATTTCAAAACTCACTAAACTCACTTATCTGGACTTGTCAATGAACAACTTTAGAGGTCCAATTCCTTCGCTCGGTACAGCCAAGAAACTCACGTACTTGGACCTTTCTGATAATGTTTTAAGTAGCCAAATTTCATTACCTGGTCAATTTGAAGGACTACAAAATCTAGTCAGCATTAAGTTGCACAATAACTCCATCAATGGCAGCATTCCTTCCTCTCTTTTTATGCTCCCATCTTTGCAAATCATTGATCTTTCCAACAATCAATTCAATCAATTGGGTGAGTTCTCAAGTGTGCCTTCCTCGGTATTAAATTCCCTCGATTTGAGCAACAATGATTTATCAGGTCTTATTCCATGGTCTATCTTTTAACCCAGAGGAATCATTGATCTCCAACTTTCTTCAAACAAGTTCAATGGGTCAATGCTACTAGATATGCTTGTGAATCTCAGAAATTTGACTACGCTAGATTTGTCACACAATAGCTTGTCAATCAACATGAACATGTCAAAATCTCACCTGTCTTCCTTTCCCACCTAAGATTGGCTCGTTGCAAGTTGGAGACTTTCCCTAGTTTCTTAAGATACCAGCTCAAATTAACTAATGTGGACCTTTCAGATAACCAAATACGAGGTCAAATACCCACCTGGATTTGGAAACTTCAAAGTCTCATTTACCTTAATCTTTCTCATAATCTACTGACTGATTTTGAAAGACCGTTATCAATTTTGAGTTCTAATTTAGCACCCCTCTTGGTCCTCGACCTTCATGACAACTGTATCAGAGGGCCAATTCCTCTTTAGCCTAAGGGTGCTGTCTATTTGGACTACTCAACCAATAGATTCGACTCTGTTGTAATCCCAGCTAATGCAAGTGTTTACTGGGCTTCCGCAATGTTCATCTCTCTATCAAATAATTCTTTTCAAGGTAGCATTCCTAAATTCTTGTGCAATTTTTCAAGTCTTGAAGTGCTTGATCTTTCCCACAATAACTTTTCTGGTAAAATTCCCCCATGTTTAACGAAAATGAGCGAGATCCTTGGAGTATTAACTCTGTGAGAAAACAACCTTATAGGTGGCATACCTGACAAATTTTCAACAATGTGTGCTTTAAGGACACTGGATCTCCATGGAAATCAATTAGATGGATCAATGCCAAAGTCTCTAGCTAATTGCATGAGATTGAAGGTGCTAGACCTTGGAAACAATCGTGTTATAGATGGCTTTCCATGTTCATTGAAGAAAATATCCATGCTTCATGTCTTGGTCTTGCGATAAAACAGGTTCCATGGTTCCATCGGATGCCCAAATGCCATTGATACCTGGCATATGCTTCACATTGCCGATCTAGCTTTCAACAATTTTACTGGTAAACTAGCATTAAAATCCCTGGCAACATGGGAAGGAATGATGCCCAAACAACTGCAAATACTACAACTTTGGTTGGTTTGGATATTTATTATCAGGATACGGTGACTATTAGTAGTAAAGGTCAAATGGTGCAGTGGGTTAAAATTTTAAACTTCGCCATTGCTATTGACTTCTCATCTAACTTTCTTGAAGGGCCAATACCAGAAGAATTGATGAATTTTAAAGCAATATATACTCTCAACTTGTCGAATAATGCCCTCTCTGGCCAGATACCATCATCTATTGAGAATTTGAGGGAGCTTGAGTCATTAGACCTGTCAAACAACTCATTGACGGAGGAAATACCAGCACAAACGGCAAATTTGTATTTTCCTTCATCCTTGAACCTCTCATATAATCATCTAGAGGGGATAATTCCATCTAATACTCAGATTCAATCTTTTGATGCATATTCGTTCATAGGCAATGTCGGGTTATGTGGACCTCCTTTGACCCCAAATTGTAGTAGCGATGAAACACCAGGGATTTCACGATCATCTCACTCTGGGAGTTCAATTGATTGGAATTTCATAAGCGTCGAATTGGGATTTGTTTTTGGCATTGGCATTGTTCTTTTGCCTCTAGCTTTTTGGAAGCCTTGGAGAATATGGTACTGGCAACATATGGATGACCTGCTTTATAAGATCTTCCCACAACTGTATGTTGTGTATGAACGTCGTGGAGGGAAGAATTACAGAACTCTAAGGTGGAAGTCTCACTAATCTGCATTTATGGCGCATTCTCATCATCTTCCAATATTATGCTTTCCTTGGTGTTTGGTTTTGAATTAAAATATTATATCCTTTTATTACCTTTTCCTGTTTCTTTTATCTTCTATTTTTAGATACTTGTGCGTGTCACATCATTTAAAATTCATAAAAATTGGGCTAATCTTACAAAAGTAGAGACTTGGTGCTTGAGGCCATATTTGATATGGAGAATTTATGAGTTTATACTTGAGAAGGAAATTATTAGGTTGTCTATGAGTGAATATAAAATAATTCAAAAAGTCTTATATCAAATAAAGTTAGTTTTGAAATTATTATATAATTAAAAAAAAAAGAACTTATAAACTTAAATCTAGAGATTTTGAGTTAATATACAATATCTTTCCACTACTCTTACCCATTTTTTGGTAGTCTCTCCCCATATTTAACAAAGACAAAATACTTTGTTATTACCTGTAGTGGTTTTATTTACTAATCTAATCTCAAGTAAATGTGCAGAAATCTAGCATCTTTTATCTGATATCAGAGTGAGATTAATTTCCAACATCAAATTCTCAAATTAACGCTAAGACAAGTTTTTTTTTTTTAAACGTTGAATTGGAATGGTGCATCTGTTAATTTTCATGGAAAATTCAGGGCCCTGCACAAGGGACATATCCATTGACACATGCATGCACTGGCTTTTCTTCTAGCCATATGCACTATTTCCTGTTCATTGAAGCTTCCTATCCTTTTCATCGTTTTTCCCCCACTTTGAACGCTTGTCACATGATTGACCTTACTGATCGATTACTGGTTCCACTTCAATCAAGTCAATGAAATTAAATTAGAAGGATCACTTTTCCACGACATAATAAGAGTAATTGTGGTCTATTTGACCTTTAAAAAAACCAAAGAAAAAAAAAACTTTCGAAACCTATAATTTTTAATGGGACCCTTATAGCTGGGAAGCAATAATTTATATAAATGAGTTTAATGTCGCTTCTTGCACATATAGGTTATTTCTAACTTCATCTGAGTCAACATAAAACTTTTTTTAGGAATTACTACAATAGTTGGGGAAAGTATGTACAAGGACATTGAATGGATCGTGATTCAAGCCTTCAAGGCAGATATTCTATGACACATACGATGCGTCAATATTAGAATCAGAACCAATAGTTGACTTTTTTATTGCTCCAGTAATTGCTAATTACCATGCATTGATTTTTATGTATATTCTCCTATGACATAAAGCACTCTAAACAAAATTGCTTGGAAGATCTACACTGTTTTAAAAAAAAATTCTGTAACCTTGTATTAAAAAAGGATAATTGAAGATAAACACTTGAATCGCAAAAGTTGAAATTTATATTTTTCTTTGGAGAAAGGTATTTTGTCCCAAGATAAGTGTATTATAAATTTTAAAAAAGAGTAGCAAAAATTTGAAAGAATTTTGAATAAGAACTAGGGATATGACTTAATTATTAGCAAGTTTTAAAAAATTTTAAAACTTCAGTTTTATCTAGAGGGTAAAAATAAAAATAATTTTAGCTGTGAAAAAACTAAAGCACCTTTCATTTATTATGCATAATCACTAATTATTAATTTTTTTATTTTTTTTATTAATTTACTAATATACGTGGCAAATTAAATAAGTTGACATGTTAATAATTATATAAAACTTAACATTAGATGTTCAATCATAAACAACAATATTAATTGCTAAATTATTAACTGTATTTGTTAATTTATTAATATCCATTGTAAATTATTGATAGGTCTTGTAATTTAATAACATTAATTTTAAATTACTAACAACTCTTACAATTTATAATTAATGTTAGTAAATTAATAAGTAAAATTAGCAAATTAACAACTAATGTTATTATTTATTTGACAAACAAATGTAATTTATAAGTAATATTAATAAATTAATAAATAAAATAAGAAACTTAACAATTAGAAAAATTAAAATTTCAAACCTTTTTAAAACCCATTAATAATGAAATTACATTCTTGATATTATTTTAAATTTACGAAATTTCCCTTGCAATATCCCGAAGCCCCATAAATGAGAAATTGAGTAGTGAGAACAAGGTGCCTCTAGCCCGTGTGGTGTGGGAGAGAGTAATGGCTTTTCGGCCTTTACAGCCATTATTTAAAAGTCATGATAAAGGGGGTCGTCGATCGACATTGAAATGCGCGGACAATTACGTGTCGTACTGGGGATACTAATCTCTGCTGACGCTTTGTTCGAGAAAATGAGTGCTGATGGAGCGAGGATGGGTGAAAATATGTCCGTACTAAATGTAGAACTGATAATTCACAAGCTTATTTTGAGTTCAATTTAAATTAAATTTATTTAAATCAAATATAAAATATAAAAAAATTCATATAATTTAGTCCAACTTCAATTTTTTTGGAGCAAGTTCAAACTAATCTATCAAATTTACTTTAAATTACCAACTTTAATAAAATATTTGGCACGGGGAATCACCATTACATTATTCATGTGAGATAATGAGCACTCCTATTTTCATTACTATTCTTTTTCTCATTTCATCAAAAATCATTTATCATGACAAGCGAAGCCTGAAAGTCCTCCATTCAAGTCATTTGTAATTGGCAGCTGCATTGCCATTGGTTTGAAATGTATGCTGTTAATTAATCGAGAATAAGGATACTTTTAAATTCAATGAATTTAAATTTAAAATATTTTTAAAATTAAAATTATTATTACGTTTTAGAAAATTTATTGATAAATTTTTTTAAAAAAAATTATGGTATTTAAACTTAGATATTTAATATAATTTAGACCAACAAACAAGTAAATTTATATTATATATATTAATTATTTTATAAGTATTATTTTTTACATTTTTTATTTTTTATAAATTAAAAAATTCACCTGGTGAGATTTTATCAAAGAAAAAAGCTAAGATGTATTTTATTAAAAAAACAAATAATAGGTTTTTTTGGTATTTTTTAAGTAAATCACACACACACACACACATATATATAATAAGTTATTTGGTTGGAGGAAAGTAAAGCAGGGTAAGTCTAAGTGCCAGGAACATGAAAATCTATTTTGTTTAGTTTGCTGCAAGTGTCAAGAAATTAAGGCTCAAAATTCCCTTCACAATTAAGGAAGTAACTTATTGAACAATACTTAAATTGGGAAAGTTTTACTTTTCTGGTTTTTTGCGTTTCAAATAAAAAATAATATATTTTTAATTTTATGAGAAATAAAATAGTAGTCGAGCAACTTATAATAGGAGTTAACCAATTAATTCGCAGGAAGCAACATGATTGAACAAAGTGAGACCCAAGATATTTAAGATTACATATTATATATGCTTATGAAGACAAGTGTATCAATTGCTTTTCTTGTTATAAATATTATTGGATCATTTTTAAATTCAAAATTCACTTATTGGGATCATGTTTCCATTGGAAAAAAAAAAACTGCACTACAATTCATTGGCTATATAATGTGTTTCAATCTTGAAGATTTTTTAATTTATGATTTAAAAAAAAAGGATAATAATTTTTTTTTTTACATGGACTAACTCACATTCACTTTTTTTTATTTTTTATTTTTTTGAAATTCGCCCCACAAAATTTTCCTTGCATTAACCCGAAGTCCCATGATTGAGAAATTGAGGCCGGGCCAATGGGAGTGAGTGATGACTTTTTTGCGTTTATATTGAAACGCGCAGATAATTATGTGCCGCAGAAGTGGGGACACTGAGCTCTGCGGTCGTTTGGTTTGAGGAAATGGGTGCCGATAGAATGAGAATGGGTGAAGAATTGTCCACATTAAAGGTTTCGGGGAATCATCATAAGATAATGAATTGGGCTGATAATTCGAGTGAAAAAGTCTCATGAGCCAGCCAAACTTATTCAAAAACAAAATTAGGGTAGAGCCTACAAAATAATATTTTCTTGCATCAATTGTAAGGACTGGCACAGAACAAATGAGCAAGAGAGATGTTGATCGTGGATCTGAAAAAAGCAAGAAATACGAGGGAAGTCAGGATGAGGTTGAAGTGAACTTTACTGGTACAAAGGACATAAATATAGATTCAAGTAATAAAAAAAGTGATGCCAGCTTGAATAAGACATGGGGATCGTGGGCTCAAAGCTCCTAGATTTGTCATGGGATTCAATTGGTGTATTTGATTTATTGTTGGGTTCTTTGCAAATGTGTTTTTGGTATGTTATTTTCCAACAAGATGTAATTCCTGATATCACATAAAAGGGGAGAAAAGTTCTTTCATGCATTTGGTTTTAATGCTCTGTTCAAGACCCTATGTGCATGGTGTCTGAACCTTTCAGTGGCCACTGGAACTCAATTTTGTTGGCGGAGCATATTCTTGTGCAGGCTCCGTCAATGCGACAACTACATTTACATGGTATAAGCCAGGACTTTGACTCAAAACATTTGAAGAACAAGAAGCACTGGAACTCGCTCAACACCGATTTCTTTCGTGACTCAGTAGATGTAATTGATTAGGTCTCTAATAACAGGAGAGCAACCTTGAAAGATGTTGACAAGTTTCAGTCCATGGAGTTGAAGTGTCCTTGATGTAGAAGTGCACACCCTAACATTCCCAGGTCAAAATCCTATATCAGCAGTTGCCAAGCTTCCTTTCCTGCTTGCATGCTTCAAAATCAAAGTGAAAGGTTAACATCAGATAATAATATTTTCCTAGTTTTTGCATATACATGCTGACAAGATACTGGTTCCTTTTTTTTTTTTGGACCATGTGAATCTCTGCATGTTCTTGTCATCCCAAAAGTTAACATCAATCGCATTCATCTATGCACGCATGCATGTTAAAAGAGGGATATTCTACCAAAGATACTTCTAAAATAAAAAACAAGATTAAAAAGCTTCACCTGGACAATTTCAGAAGCCCGACAAATGGAAAATATATTCCTGGGGAACAATTAATGTGCCGTGGCAAAGGGGAACGACTTTTCACTTACAAAAAAAAAATCTTCCATTCAATTTATTTGTTGAACCTCGAAAAAAATGTCAAGACATGGAGGCTCCTTTATGACTTTATTATAAATTATAATATTGGCAAAACCTTGTTATGAAAACTCGTACATTACTCTGGAAATTTCTTTCCCCGGCTCATTTCTTATCTATTTCTCTTTTTTAAAGGACTTGCATCTATTCATTATTTTTAAAAAACACAAATGCGATGTTGTTCTTTTTTTTTTTTTTATGCGTACTTTTCAAGTCCCAAGTGAAGGCTGTAATCTGTCGTTCCTATGAAATGTCAACACATGAACTTGTGAGATAAATAGAACTTATTCCGAAAGCTTTATCAATTTTTCTTTTAGACATCTGAAGCATCTTTTGTGGATAAAAGAGACTAGTTTCATCCATGAAAATTGAGAATCAAACTCCCAACCTTTCATGCAAGCTTAAATTGACGAAAGATCAGTTTATTAATTTATTTAGAATGTCACAAGACTTTATTAATACATTATATGTTCATCTATGTTCAATTTAAACAATGTCAACAACTATGCACTAGCTAGCATTTCCAAGTCAATTCCACAATTTTTTTCTTTTTCCCAACGAGAAAATGACATCTGAGTGATACGAATTTTCATCATTGGAAAATGGTAAATAAGATAAAAGATGAGAACGAATTATATGATATCAATGGAGAGTGCTCAATGGAGGAAGATTGAAAGAAGGTGGGAAACGACAGGTGCTTGACTTTCAAAGGGAGAAGGAAACTTCGTCAAGAAGGGGCATTGCATTTTAGACGCTGCCTTCTACAGTGAAAATTTACTTTACTCAGACACACAACATCTTGTATTATATTTCCTCTACTCTTCATGTCAGGTCTTTAGTTGCAGTGTGTCTACCATTGCAGAATCCAATGAGAATTCGTTCAGTTTCATGGCGTTCCTTCATAACCTGCTGCTTTTGGATATTTCTGTGTTTCAACACCTATGTGGTATCAAGCAAATGTCTTGAGGACCAGAAATCATTGCTTCTCCAATTGAAGAACAGCCTCAATTTCACTGAATCAAGTTCCATCAAACTGGTGTCCTGGGATCAAGGCCTGTCCTGCTGTGATTGGAGTGGTGTCACTTGTGATGAGCAAGGACATGTTATTGGTCTTGATTTGAGTGGGGAGTCAATCTTTGGTGGTTTTGACAGTTCAAGCAGTATTTTCAGTCTCCAATATCTCCAGCTGTTAAATTTGGCTTCCAATTATTTCAATTCTGTGATCCCGAGTGAGTTATACAAGTTGAAGAACTTGACCCACCTGAATTTGTCACATGCCGACTTTGTTGGGCAGATACCAAAAGCAATTTCTCAACTGACCAGGTTAGTTACTCTGGATATCTCGTCTCTTTCATATTTAACAGGGAAAAAGCTCAAACTTGAGAATCCAAATTTGAGGATGCTTATTCAGGATCTTACCAGCATTAAGCAATTGTATCTAGATGGCGTAACTGTATCAGCTCAAGGACACGAATGGGGCAATGCTTTATCATCTCTCACTAGTCTGCAAGAATTGAGCCTCTCAAACTGCAATCTTTCAGGTCCCATTGATTCTTCTCTCCAAAGAATGAAGCTCCTCTCAGTAGTTCGTCTTGATCAGAACAATTTGTCAGCCACGGTGCCAGACTTCTTTAGTAATTTTTCAAATCTGACAAGATTGGGCCTTAGTTTTTGCGAGTTGAGTGGAACATTTCCACTAAATGTCTTCCGGGTAAAAACATTGACCTTCATTGACATATCTTATAATACTGGTCTTAGTGGTTCTCTCCCAAACTTCCCATTGAATGGATCTCTTCAGACCTTGGTAGTGAGTCGCACAAATTTTACAGGAGGTTTACCAAATTCTATCAGTAACCTGACAAACTTGTCCAAATTAGATCTTTCAAATTCTCAATTTTCTGGACGACTTCCACACTCAATCTCAAAACTCACTGAACTCTCTTATCTGGACTTGTCAAATAACAATTTCAGAGGTCCAATTCCATCGTTCGGTACAGCCAAGAAACTCACGCACTTGGACCTTTCTGGTAATGTTTTGAGTGGCCAAATTTCATCGCCTGGTCGATTTGAAGGACTACAAAATTTAGTCAGCATTACGTTGCGCAATAACTCCATCAATGGCAGCATTCCTTCCTCTCTTTTTACTCTTCCGTCTTTGCAAATCATTGATCTTTCCAACAATCAATTCAATCAATTGGATGAGTTCTCAACTGTGCCTTCCTCCGTATTAAATTCCCTTGATTTGAGCAGTAACAATTTATCAGGTCTTATTCCATGGTCTATCTTCCAACTCAGAGCACTCATTGTTCTCCAACTTTCTTCAAACAAGTTCAATGGGCCAATGCCGCTAGATATGCTTGCGGAACTTAGAAATTTGCATTCACTAGATTTGTCGCACAACAACTTGTCAATCAACATGACCGTGTTAGATTCTCACCTGTCTCCCTTTCCTAATATTACCAGCCTAAAATTGGCTCGTTGCAAGTTGGAGACTTTCCCTGGTTTCTTAAGACACCAGGTCGAATTAATTCATCTGGATCTTTCGGATAACCAAATCCGAGGTCAGATACCCACCTGGATTTGGAAACTTGAAAATCTCAGCTACCTTAATCTTTCTCATAATCTGCTGACTGATTTTGAAAGACCGTTGCCGAGTTTGAGTTCTAATTTTGCACAACTCATCGTCCTCGACCTTCATGACAACCATATCGAGGGGCCAATTCCTCTCTTGCCTAGGTTTGCCGACTATTTGGACTACTCAACCAATAGATTCGACTCCGTTGTAATCCCAGCTGATGCAAGTGATTACTGGGATTTCACAGTGTTCATCTCCCTATCAAATAATTCTTTTCAAGGCAGTATTCCTAAATTCTTGTGCAATTTTTCAAGTCTTGAAGTGCTTGATCTTTCCCACAATAACTTTTCTGGTAAAATTCCCCCATGTTTAACGGGAATGAGCGAGACCCTTGGAGTATTAACTCTACGGGAAAACAACCTTACAGGTGGCATACCTGACAAGTTTTCAGCAATATGTGCTTTAAGGACACCGGACCTCCATGGAAATCAATTAAATGGACCAATGCCAAAGTCTCTGTCAAACTGCATGACATTGGAGGTGCTAGACCTTCGAAACAATCGTATTATGGATGTCTTTCCATGTTCATTGAAGCAAATATCCATGCTTCGTGTCCTGGTCTTGCGACAAAACAAGTTCCATGGTTCCATCGGATGCCCGAACACCATTGATATCTGGCATATGCTTCACATTGCCGATCTAGCTTTCAACAATTTTACAGGTAAACTAGCATTGAAATCCCTGGCAACGTGGGAAGGAATGATGCCCGACGAAGCACAAATACTACAATATAAGATTGATGGTGATGTTTATTATCAGGATACGGTGACTATTAGTAGTAAAGGCCAAACTGTGCAGTGGTTTAAAATTTTAAACTTCGTGACTGCCATTGACTTCTCATCCAACTTTCTTGAAGGGCCAATACCAGAAGAATTGATGAATTTTAAAGAAATATATACTCTCAACTTGTCCAATAATGCTCTCTCCGGCCAAATACCATCATCTATCGAGAATTTGAGGGAGCTTGAGTCATTAGACCTGTCAAGCAACTTATTGACAGGGGAAATACCAGCACAGATGGCAGATTTGCATTTTCTTTCATTCTTGAACCTCTCATATAATCATCTAGAGGGGAGAATTCCAAGTGGTACTCAGATTCAATCTTTTGATGCATATTCGTTCATTGGCAATGACGGGTTATGTGGACCTCCTTTGACCCCAAATTGTGGTAGCGATGAAGCACCAGGTATGTCACGATCATCTCACTCTGGGAGTTCAATTGATTGGAATTTCATAAGCGCCGAATTGGGATTTGTTTTTGGCATTGGGATTGTTCTTTTGCCTCTAGCATTTTGGAAGCCTTGGAGAATATGGTACTGGCAACGCATGGATGACCTGCTTTATAGGATCTTCCCACAGCTGGACTTTGTGTATGAACACCGTGGAGGGAAGAATTACAGAGCTCTAAGGTGGAAGTCTCACTAATTTGCATTTGTGGCTCATGCTCATTATCTTACAATATTATGCTTCCCTAAAAGAAGGACTTGGTGTTTGGTTTTGAATTAAAATGCTACATCCTTCCACTATTTTTACTTGTTTCTCTTATCTTTTGTTTATAGGCAATCACTTGCCATTTCTGACAAGTAGTATCAAAATCAGGTCTCACCTAGAACTTATAAATTTGTTATTTCGCACACATTTGAATCTCAAAATGAGATTGATTTTAATTGTAATAGAAACCTATGTATGTCACACCATTTGAAACCCTTAAAAATTGAGCTGACCCACAAAATGTAGAGACTTGGTGCTTGAAGTCGTGCTTGATATGGGGGGCTTATAGGCTTATACTTGAGAGGGAGATTATTAGGTTATTTGTGAGTAGATTTAAAATAATCTAAGAAGTCTCATATCAAATAAAATTGATCTAGTAACTAATATATAATAAAAAAGAAGAGCTCATAAACTTAAACTTGGAGATTTTAAAATAAGATGATATCCTTTTACTACTCTTGCCTGTTTTTGAGCAGTCCTTCCCTGTTTCTAACAAAGACAAATACTTTATTATTAACTAAAGTGGTTTTATTTATTAATTTAATCTCATGAAAATGTGTGGAAATCTAGCATCTTTTATCTGATATGAGAGTGAGATTAATTTCCAACATCAAATTCCCAAATTAATGCCAAGATAAGTATTTTTTTTTTTTTTAGATGTTGAATAGGATTGTCTATCTGCTCATTTTCTTTGAAAAATCGGGGTTATGCATAAGTGATATATCCATTGTCGCATGCATGCACTGGCTTTTCTTTTAGTCATATGCACTATTTCCTGTTCATTGAAGCTTCCTATCCTTTTTATTGGCCAAAAGAAAAAAAACAAGAAGAAGAAGAAGAAGCTTGCTATCCTTTTTATCAATTTTTCCCCACTTTGAACTCTTGTTGCATGATTGACCATACTGATCGATTACTGGTTCCACTTCAATCAAGTCAATGAAATTAAATTAGGAGAATCACTTTTCCACGGCATATTGAGAGTAACTGTGGTCTATTTGACCTTTAAAAAAAAATTCAAAACCCAATAATTTATAATGGAGCCTTTATGGCTGGGAAGCAATAATTTATATAAATGAGTTTAATGTGGCTTCGTGCACATATAGGTTATTTCTAGCTTCATCTGAGTCAACATAAAACTTTTTTAAGGAATTACTACAATGCGTTGGGGAAAGTATGTACAAGGGAATTGAATGGATAGTGATTCAAGCCTTCAAGGCAGATATCCTATGGCACATACAATGCGTCAATATTAGAATCAGAAGCAGTAGCTGACTATATTATTGCTCCAGTAATTGCTAATTACTATGCATTGATTTTTATGTATATTCTCCTATGACATAATGCACTCTAAACAAAATTGCTTGGAAGATCTACAGTCTTTAAAAAAAAAAAATCAGCAACCTTGTATTAAAAAAGGATAATTGAAGATAAACATTTTAATCACAAAATTTGAAATTTATATTTTTCTTTGGAGAAAGGTATTCTGTCCCAAGATAAGTGTATTCTAATTAAAAAAATAGTAAAAAATTGAAAGAATTTCAAATAAGAACTAGGAATATGACTTAATTGTTAGCGGGTCTCAAAACATTATAAAAACTTCAGTTCTGTGTAGAGGATGAAAGTAAAAATAATTTTAGTTGTCAAAAGACTAAAGTACCTTTCATTTATTATGCATAATCACTAGTTGTTAATTTTTTTACTTCATTTATTAATTTATTAATATAGGTGATAAATTACATAAGTTGACATGTCAATAATTATATAAGACTTGATATTAGATCTTCAATAATAAAATGCAATATTAATTATTAAATTATTAACATTACTTGTTAATTTACTAACATCAGTTATAAATTACTGACAAGTCTTGTAATTTACTAACATTAATTTTAAATTACTAACAGATCTTATAATTTACAATTAATATTAGTAAATTAACAAGTAAAGTTAAAAAATTAACAACTAATGGTACTATTTGTTTGACAAACAAAGATAATTTATAAATAATATTAACAAATTAATAAATAAAGTAAGAAAATTAATAATTAATGATTCTATATAACAAGTGAAACATACTTTAATCTTTTTAAAATTAAAATTATTTTTTACTTTTATCTTCCTAAACTCAACTAAAATTTCAAACTTTTAAAACTCACTAACAATTAAATTACATTCTTGATATTATTTTAAATTTACCCAATTTCCCTTGCAATAGCCCGAAGCCCCATAACTGAGAAATTGAGAAGTGGATGCAAGGTGGCGGGCCCGCAGGAGAGAGCAATGACTTTTCGGCCTGTACGGCAATTGTTTAAAAGTCATGAAGAAGGGCGTCGTCGCTCGACATTGAAATGCGCGGATAATTACGTGCCACAGGGATGGGGATACTAAGCCCTGCCCACGTTTGGTTCGAGGAAATGGCTCTGATGTAGTGAGAATGGGTGATGAAATGTGCGTATTAAATGTAGAGTCGATAATTTAAATAAGTTTGTTTCAAGCCTAATTCAAATGCAACTTATTTAAATTAAGTTAAAAATATAAAAAAATTTATATTGTTAAATTCAACTCTAATTTTTTTTTAAACAGATTCAAACTAATCTATCAAACTTAGTCTAAATTATTGGCCCTAATTAAATGTTTGGCATGGGGAATGATCATTCCATTATTCATGTGAGATAACGAGCATTGCTATTTCCATTACTATTCTTATTCTCATTTCATCAAAAATCATTCATCATGCCAAACGAAGCCTGACAGCCCTCCATTCAAGTCATTGTAATATAATTGGCAGCTGCAATGCCATTGGTTTGGAAATGTATGCCCTTAATTAGCCGAGAATAAGGATACTTTTAAATTCAATAAATTTAAATTTATAATATTTTTAAAATTAAAATTATTATTACGTTTTAGAAAATTTATTGGTAAATTTTTAAAAAATTACGGTATTTAAGCTTACATATATGATATATTTCAGACCAACAAACAAGTAAATTTATATTATATATATTAATTATTTTATAATTAAGTATTATTTTTAATATTTTTACTTTTTTATAAATTAAAAATTCACCTAGTGAGATTTTATCAAAGAAAAAAGCTAAGATATATTTTTTCAAAAAAAAATAGGTTTTTTTGGTATTTTTTAAGTAAATTAAATATATATATATATATATATATAAGGTTATTTGGCTGGAGGAAAGTAGAGAAGGGTAAGCCTAAGGTCACATTTGGTTATTAGAAATGAATAGAATAAAATTGATTAAAAAAATTAAGACAAAAATAAACTAATCCACCCTTCTATTCATGGTAAGAATGATAAAATTTATCAATATTTATTATAAATGTGAAAATTATTACACCCTTCAAAAATTTCATAAATCATAATTTTCAACTGTATGAACTAAATTATCCCTCCCTTTATGAATATGCTCACATATCCCCTTTGATTATCTTATTTTTTTTCCCTATTTTGTCAATCTATTCCGTTCTTTTTAGCAAGCAAATGTGGCTTAAGTGCCAGGAACATGAAACTCTATTTTATTTAGTTTGCTGCAAGTCTCAAGTGTCAAGAAATTAAGGCTCAAACTTCCCTTCACAATTAAGGAAGTAACTTATTAAACCATATTTAACTTGGGTAAGTTTTACTTTTCTAGTATTTTTCATTTCAAATAAAAAATAATATATTTTTAATTTTATGAGAAATAAAATACTCCCGTCATATTAAATTATAGAGTACTTTTAAAAAAGTTTCTCTATTTCAAAATATAAAATATTTTGAGTAGATTAAGGTTTTATTAACTACACCAATTTTAATATTGTCTTTTCTTTCTTTATAATTAATTTCCATCACTTCTCTTTTCAATATATTAAATGATGAGTATTTTGAAAAGTTTATATTTTTATTTTAAAAAGATAAGATTGTTAAGTGTATTTAATAAAATTTATTAATATATAAAATTTTATTTAAAAATATTTTATAATTTAAAATGGAAGGAGTAGTAGTCAAGCAACTTCTCATAGGAGTTAACCAATTAATTCGCAGGAACCGACATGATTGAACAAAGCAGGACCTAAGATATTTGAGATTACATATTATATTTGCTTATGAAGACAAGTGTATCATTTGCTTTTCTTGTTATAAATATTATTGGCTTATTTTTAAATTCAAAAATCACTTAGTAAGATCATGTTTGCATGGGGGGGGGGGGAAGCTGCAATACAATTCATTAGCTATATAATGGCTTTCAATCTTGAAGATTTTTTAATTTATGATTTGTAAAAAATGGAAAAATAATTTTTTTCTACAAAATAACAGTTAATTACAAAGTTATTTTTTATTTTAGATTGTATGTCTATCAAAATAAAGAATATTAAAAATATAAAATAAATATTATTAAATTTGAACCATCAAATTTTAAGTTGAACGTTCTAGATTTATTGAATTTAAAATTTACACAATTGGTTAAGGATATAACTTTTTTCTTTTGTTTGAAATAGGTGTTTTAATCGCGCAGAATCAAAAGTTAACTTGCAATGTTTGATTGCGTGTAAAGCAGGAAAAACGAAAAAGGATTATTTGCCTCGCATTGTATCAAATCCATTGCAGCGTTATATTGGTAATACTTATTCTTTCTATTTAAAAATATATAATATTATTAATCAAATCTCATCCTTTAATAAAATACTTACTTATTTTCACATTAATATCATCTTTTTATATTTATCTCTATTTTAATAAAGTGTTTCACTTTAAAATAAATATAAAAGTGTTTTATTCATGAGGACACTTTTAGAAAAAAAATAATAATTACACCATAAAAACATTAGAAATATTTTACACTTTTTAACATCTAATTTCTCAAAAAAATATTTTATATTTTTAAATGGAGGAATATTTTATTATCAGATAAAGCTTGTTTGATTGTGTTGGACTAGTT